ATTCGATCCAACTCGCTTTGTGCATGACTTGTACATGCAGTGTTGTTATGGAAGTAGTAAAAGAATATGCTAGGAACACACGGTTAGTAATATTTTTAAATATACGGAGAAATAAACGAAAAAAAAGCGCACTTCTCTATGCTCAATTAATAAAGACGTTTTCAATGGGCGGTCATTTTTGATTTAAACCTATTACGTACTATGTGGTGATGAAAATTTGCCTTTACAGATAAATACAAATGTAACAGTATTTTTGCTGCTGTTCATAAATTTATTGACGAAACATGTAGACTTTCTTAGTTGATATGTTAAATTTTATTTGTATCATTTGTATTATGTTTCTTTAATTTGCATGACATATTGTATTATATTTGGAGAGGAACTAGTACAAAAGTTATTTTAGAACTTGTTTCCAATCCTTTTGATTTAAAAAAATATGTTGAAAACAAAACTGTCACTCTCGGGTCGTCCATCCCAATTTTTTCAGACCAGCTGTAGCTGCAGAACTATAGCTCTCTGGTTGAGAAAATTCGGACAGATAAACCAGAAGGCTACAGATCCAAGCATTGTTAAGCCCTTTGATTTACGCCGCCGCTTTTTTGTCGCTCGCTTCGGGTATTATTTCTTGTATTTTATGTGTTCCCCCACCTCACAGTTTGTATCCTATAATTTATCATTTATTTTACTCCAATTCTTAATAATTGATTTACCTTTCAACAGTTCCAAATGGCCCTATGTAGTCTAAATATCATTTTAAAAATTTCCCATCCCGAGTTTTCAAAAGAACATCCATTTGCCGAAAAAATGTGAATAAAAAATCTGGAGGTTCAAATATCGTGTACATTCATTTGTCTATAATGAAAGCAATATGTATGTTAGAAAAATGAGATTTATAAAATCGGGCATGTTATTTTAGCATTTATTTAAACCAACATGGGAGTGAGGAGCTCGGAAAGCAATTTTTTGAAACTGATTTTTCAAGACCACATACGGCCGTTTGGGACCGTTGAAAGGTAAATAAAGTGTCAGGACTGGGAGTAAAATATAGAATTTATTATCGGATACCAGTGGAACGCATAAAATACAAGGAATAATATCCGAAGCGAGCGACAAATAAGCGGTGGTGTAAATCGAAAGTTTTTTTTTTTTTTTTTTTTTACAATGCTTGGATCTGTAGCTCTCTGGTTTATCTGTCCGAATTTTCTCAACCAAAGAGCTGCAGCAAGATTAGTCCGAAATATCTGACGTTTTCCAGGCTTTTTTACGATTTTGATATTTGACGTGCCTGGAAAACGTCAGAACCGGCGCCATTACGAAAACTGGAAATTCGCCGCCTCCAACTGGAGGCGGCGTTCTCGGCTCGATTTTAAATACTCGACAGTCAAAGATGTTGTGTTAACTCGTAACTAAATAATCAAACGATGATTCTAGTACTCACTTATATCACTTTTATAAACCTTGTCATCAAATAAACAGTTTGTAGAACATATTTTATCGAACTGTTGAGATTTGTTTTGATTTTGTGCATTTTGAAATCTCGCGAGACTACAGGGTGTTTCCCAGAGCACATCTAAAAATAGATAACGCGTCATGGCTGCTTCAGCAGGTAAAATTTTGCGGCATAAAGGATACAATTTTGGTATTCGGGAAGATCAGTTGAAAGTTATAACAAGTATTTTGGAGTTGAAAGACACGTTTGCTATATTTCCCACAGGTTTTGGGAAAAGTTTGACCTACATCTTACCACCTCTCATATTAAATGAGGTAACTTAACGTTAGGCTAGATATAAATTCATTAAACATTGGAGAGACTGACCAACCAATATAAGTCTTTTTTTCATGAAATCACTTAAGTAATTCATCAGCCTATCTAAATTTTACAAGAATTAACCATAAGATGGTGCTAAAATTTGATTCTGAAGAAAAGGGGGGGTGCTAATTAATTTTGCCCACATAAGGACAGAATAGTCTGAAATATCTTAGTTTTTCCTGGCTTTTTCAACAATTTTATTATTTTGATGTGCCAGAATATCTCCAAGGTAACCAAGATTTTTTCTTTATAATCTGCACCCCTCTCATCCCCTTCAGAATCAAATGGCTGCCCTAATCATATTAGTTTTACCTAAATGTATGTAACTACATGTATATAAATATTATAGACTCAACCAGAAATTCATCACTTTTCCTTGGTCATAAGCCCTTTGACTTCTTTAATTGAGGATCAATTACAAAACTTAAATGAACATGATATTAAAGCAACTCCCATATATGGAAATTCAACACCAATGCACATGAAAGGTACATGTATTTAGAAAAAAAAATTAAAAAAAAATGCAAAAAAGTGAAGGTATAATTTTTTTTTAACATTACATTTGTGGTAATAATCATATTATTGTAAACTTTTTCTGCAATAAACATGATAAATAATCAAAACTTAACTTTCAATTGCAAATTATTTCATTCTCATCATAATCATATTAATAATATAAACTCTTTATACAATAAATTATTATGGCAAGTGAGTTAATAAATCCCAAATATTAAAATGATAAGGCACAGTTTTATTATATATAGATATTAAAGAAGGTAAAAGTGTAGTTGTTCTGGCCACCCCAGAGGCTGTTTTGTTGAAGCAGTGGCGATCCGTTATTTTGGAAGCAAGACAAAATATCTGCATGGTTGCCTATGATGAAGCCCACTGCATATCAGAATGGTAAATACCTCATCTAAAAACCCGCCATCCACAACTAAAGGGGGGGGGGTGTACTTCATTATTTATGATGTACCACATTATCTTATGATATACTACATCAAATAAAATGTAAATTACATTCATCCATATGTGATATTCTATCTGATCAGATATTAATTGGGATACAAAATCAACAGTATAACACCTCCCTGAACTGGTATAAACAAGAGGCCCATGGACCACATCACTCATCTGAGCACTTTGGCTAGGAAAAAATTTGATCCCCCCTTTTCAGTTTTGGCCCCACCCTACCCCCGGGAGTCATGACTTGAACAAACTTAAATCTACTCTACCTGAGAATGCTTCCTTATAAATATGACTAAACATGGCTTTGCTGTTCTTGAAAAGAAAATTTTCAAAGATTTTTCCTATGTATTCCTATCTAAAACTTTGATCCCCCATTATGGTCAAACCTTACCCCCAGGGGTCATGACTTGAACAAACATGAATTTACACTTTGTAAAGAAGTTATCACATAAGTTTCAACTTTATTGGTCCAGTGCTTCTTGAGAAGAAGATTTTTAAAAGATAGGAAGTAGCCCTTCATTTGAACAAACTTGAATTCCTCTCACCTATTAGTATTATACGGACTGTCAAATTTCGATCAGTAAGGAGACCTAAAAAAATCAATTTCGTCTGTGTATTGCAATGAGAATCATAGTAGCATTTATTAAATTTATTATTGTACTTTTAAAAACTTCAATAAATTTCAAAGATATTTAGATACATAGTAAATTTAAAATTCAGGAGACTGGACTTCAGAGAGGAGTATTGCAAGATTGGATTACTTCAGAGCATTATTGAGGCTCCAGTTCTTGCTCTATCTGCCACAGTCACAAAAGAAATAAAGAAAGACATTGACAGTGTACTGGGGCTTTCCAATAATACTGTTGTAATTGCTACTTTGCCTGACAGGTATAACTTTCATCACACGTACATTGTACTAAGACATGAAACATACATACAAACATACATTGTATATGTTTTTAAACAAATGAAACTGAGAACACTCCTGCAGTAGCATTGGTCATGGTCGCAATTAAGAATAACCTTATTTCAGACCCAACTTTTTGATTGACATTCGCAAGTCTACTGAAAAATTTGAAGAGGAGCTTCAATGGGTACAAGAAGCAGTTGAAAAGTATGGTAAAGACTGCAAGAAGATAATAATCTATGTTAACTCTATATCAGCTTGTGAAGGGATCTATATATGGCTACATTCTACTCTTTGTGAGAATGCTTACAGTGGGGATGTTTCTCTCAAAAACCGACTGGTAGATTGTACCATGCCAGCACTGATTTAGAGTCTAAAGCAAGGATTATGGAATCCTTTCGTAAGCCAGGAGGTACTGTCAGGGTGTTGATTGCGACGGTCGCCTGTGGAATGGGCATGGATCAACTGAGTAAATATGAATCATGAAATACTTTATCTGTTGGTGTAAGAGAGTGTATATGTTGACAATGACCCTACTGAATAAGCAAGTAAATACATAGTGTAACTGAACTTAAAGGATGAAATAACTCACCTTCAGGGACATCTTCTGATGACATACCAATACAGTCAATGTGAAACCATTGCCCTTTTCTACACTTTGTGTATGAACAAAATAGCATCATCTCTCCTATGTCCATTTTGCAAGAGCAGTATTGAAAGTCCTCTTGTGCTGGTTCACTATCAAGTATTTCCTTTGTGTTCGGTTTCTCATAAAACATGTTGACAATGTCAGCTGACAATGACAGCAGGAAATTTCGTCGTTCACTTGCAGTACATGGAAGTGCTTCAGGGGTCGCATCAACTGAGTGAACACCCAGGACGTCCATTGCTGCAACAACTGTAAATCCTTTGGTGGCAAAGTGGAGGAGCTCAGTGGCTTTATTAAAACACTCCATGATGTTGCCCGACACTCCCTTATGGTCAGAGTACTGTTTGATGTTGTACAAGGTTCCCTTCTCACGATGACTCTCAAACTTGAACAATTCATCATATGTGTCCTAAAATATGCGGAATTATTATCAATGTAAATGTAACTCAATTACTGAAATCTTGCACCCAAAATACAATGCTTTTGACATAAATGTTTGTCTTCATTAGATACTAATTTCTTAAAAATAAATTCCATTAAAATAACTGATCAAATATAAATGAATCGTAACATTTACCAGATTTACCTGCATGAACATTAATCTCCTGTGCCATTCTTGAATGGCTGGTTCAATCATCTCCAGTCTGGCCCATTGATTCCCTCCATTAATGCGCACGTTCACAACTCAAGTCATCACAGTACAGGACAAATGGTAGAGGTCTTCCGTTTTTATCTTGTGGGGCATATTGACCATAATTATCAAGTATCTGTATCATTTCAGCTGTTTTGGTCTCGTCAAACTGGAGAATCCCAAGTGGAACCTAAAAATAATGTAAATTCAAATGATCATTTCTTTTTATTTTGTCATTGCACTGTTCTGCAAATGTAGTGAAAGCACCTTCCTGTATAAATTCAATAAGTTCAAACTTACAATTTCACTTTTAACACTTGATTCTTTCATGTAAGGATGAAGGATTTTCCACTGACTAGAATCATTAAATTCTGCAAAACAAGCCATGTGAGCAGCAAGAATTCTGGCCACCATGTATGAAAGTTCTAGCTTCATGTCCTTCTCATCACTCTCGCTAGGAAGATAGGCTGTGTCAGGAATGTTCATGATGTCATCAGCTGTAGGAGTCTTGTTACTGAGTCCATATACTGGTATCCTATCCCTGGTTGCAAATGCCTGTACCATATTAAACATTTTGTTCTGTTTCCCTCGTACATGATGTCTTACGCCTACCTTCTGGTTCACATTGTCAAAAGTAATGTCAAAGAAGAATGACTGTGTGACACTTGGTGTAGGAATTATAAAACTGGAATTTGAAATGAAAACAAATTTGTCAGGATGAAAAACAATTTTTTGTACATGGAAACAATATAAGAAGCATGCTATTGCAAACAGGTGATAACATTTACATAAATATTTTTTTTTACCTTTGCTCTCATCACTATCTGTATTGCTCAGTGATTCTGCCATATCAGACAGTGATTCTGTACTTTCAGATGTGACAGTACTGTCAGATGAAAGGGAATCTATTTCTGACAAGTCATTATCATTATCCTCATCATCCTCCTCCCAATCATCCTCGATTTCCTGTGGTACATCAATCTCAGGTGTGCAAACAGGTTGATTAACACCTACAGCTGGAACTTGCTGATCTGCATAATAAAATATTTTTGTTAAAAAATGTTTTTTATCAAAATATTATCATAAATACTTGATTTTCATTATTGTAAAGATGCCAGTTAAATTGTAATTTTACCATTACACACCTATCTGTAAAGAAGTAATCCTATCCCTCCAGTCAAGGACCTTGTTGTCATACTCCTGTCTGAAGGTATCTATGGAATCCCGTGTGGCTGAAATCCCAAGGCACCATCCTAGTTTGCTAAATGCATCAAACACCTGGAAAATACACAAAGTTTCTAAAAATACATCTTATGATATCTTACAGACTTTGAGGCCATGCATGCTTAAAATTGTATGTATTCAGTTCAAGAGAGTCATATTTTCTCAAGTTCAAATTTATACTGGGACTATCCTTCTTTAAGGAAGCTCTAAACACTGCACACTAAAGAGTTCTACTTATAGGGTAGTTTTATGCAATTAGAGTGATCTGCCCTTAGAAGAAAGATAGAAAAATTAATTATTTACAGCTAATAACACAATTTGTAATAGATTAAAATATTCTAAGCATTATATTAGACCAAGAATAAGTAACTGAATTCATTATTTCCATTAATTTTCCCAATGTCAGTAAACAACAGTGATTTCTGCTCATGAATAGTCCATTGTCTTTGAACATTTTTATTGCAGAAATAAGGCAGGTACCCTATGTTGAAAATGAATTAAATAGACTCAGTATGCACACCTTTATCTGATATATTTTTCTCCCAGTTCAAAAAGCACTTTTTGTTAGTGTTTAGAGCTTCCTTGATTAATAAAGGAAAAAAAGCAATACATTGTATTTGTACAGCAGAAACCTTATCAATACGAGTCTTTTTTTAAGCTATGAGGAGTTATAATACAAAATTTTGGTGAAAAAGCTCAAGGACTTTTTCAGATTTTGTTTGGAAACAAAAATGTTACACTCAGATAAATGGACGGACAGACAGACCCAAATTAATATCCCCGACTTACAACACAAGCAGGGGACAATAAAAAAAATCTGTACTTATTACACTTAGAAACAGCCTACCTTCCTCTTACAACCACCTAGCCACATGACCAGTGAATTCATTTTCTGAATCACAGCACCTCTGCCTGTTCTATTATGCATTATCAAGCTCAGTATGGTTCCTGCGAGTGGGACAAGGGATACAGTTGTGGATCCTCGCTTTTTCGACACACTGCTATGATACCGCTTTCTAGTTAGAGATGAGATGATGATATCCATAAGTGATGGGCAAAGTTTCTTCATTTGATCTATGTACTGTGTCCAGGAAAATCCCATCACATTCTGAGAGTAAATATCATAAATAATGTAATATATTAAATGACTACCATATTCAGTTTACTTTAACAGTATTAGTACTCTTTCAATTGCACTCTCCTAGCAAATTAAAGATACCAATTTGGCCGAGCAAAAAATGTGTGTGTGTGGTTATCCAATCGAACCTTATTTTATGCCTTAATCAAAATATTTTCCTTTTTTTCATTGTAAAATTGGGAAATCGTATGTCTGTACATTTTTCTTCAACCATGAAATTTTATGGTCACTTTTTAGTGGCCATTTTTTTAAACTGTCAGGTAGACTGTGAAAAAAAAGATATAGTATGGCTAGGAGAGAGAACTTCAAGCTATCTTTTATTGTCTTTTAAAAAAATCATATTTGAAACTTATGCCTTTGGTAAGGAAAATAATAATTAAAAAAAAAATTGCAAACAGATTTTCTACCATCAATTTGGGAATAAAAGATGTCAAGAATAATTGTTAGTTTACATTGATCTTTTTTTTAAATCATTAGTTACAGCCTACCTCTAATGAAATTGGCTGGTATTTATACAGTTCCTTTGAGCATGTCATCACCTCATTCCGTACTGTGTCACATAACAGAGACAATGCAGCTTTTCTCGCAGCTCTACTATGCTTGAATAAACTCCTGAATCCACTCCTGTATTTTCCTTTTGATAGAGAAACTACTGCTCTTCCAATAGGGGTGTTGTTAACTGTTACTGGAATCTGCTTGTGACCAAAATAAAAAAAAATATTTTACCAATAGCATTTATTACAAAGTACATTATATGCTTTACCTATGATTTTTTTACTATTTCATGTACACATGTATTTAATATGCATATGTAAAGGACTGTAGAAATTTCATGGCTGAAGTACATTTCCATTTACCAGTTACTCTCAATTTTGTATCTGTCTTTTTTTCACATATGTGTAAAACAGTTACTTATAACCAATAAGTTTACCGTCTCTGTAGAAGATTTATGGGAAATCTTCTGGGGTGAAAAAAGCACCCTGTTGATCTTTGGAGATACTCTCTGTCTCTTTACAACTTTTTTCTAGAAACAGGGGTTGAAATCTTTCTTTTCCCTCCACATCTGCATAGGCCTGCTTCTTCTCAGGCAGTGATGCCAGTAGATTTGTCCATTGATAGCACAGGAAAGTACTTCTTCCTGGGGTCAGGGATAATTTAAAGTGGTCTTCCAAGACTCCAGCTACACTTTAAAATTAAAATTTCTTATTGTTAATATTTATTTCGGAATAAAATTTAGTTCATTTACAAAAGATCACTTCAATGTTATATAGCATGGAGTTTTAAAAAAAATTAATTTGTTCCAATCAATGAATTTAGACTATATACACACATGAATTAATCCATTTCTTATACATCTAACATTTTATTTCTAGTCAATACATGTTGTATGTAGAGATAGGAGGAACCTTTTCATAGAAATAAATTGACACACATATAGGGTCAGTAACTAAATGAATATTAATTTTGAAATGAGCCTTTTTCGAGGATAATGTACTCTCCTAAATGTCAAATCTTTTGTAATTCTGAATCTGCATCCTTTGTTTCCCATAAAAATATAATAACACTCAAGAACTATCTTAAAACTTGATGATCATTATATTACTTTTTAATAAATTTTGCTTTATAGCTTCAATTAGCTATATTGTTTGATTTAGCAAAATACCTTGTTTTGGGTTTTTGGTAAACATGCATTTCTTTTCGTATTTTCTAAAAGTCACAGTGCATTGGAAGTTTTTTTTTTCTTTCAAATTTGAGCTCTTTTAAAAATAAATGCATGAAAAAATCATCACTCAGTCTTGGATGAAATTATAAAGGAGGTCAAGGTATTTTGAATAGCTGAATAAAGCTATATAAAAATAATAAACTAAAATCAAGAGACTGCACTACATCCAATATATATTTAATGCATTCTGTACCTAAAAATTCATTATCTCAATTGTAAACAATCTCATTCTTGATTTTATCACTTGCTTGACGTTTTAAAATTTTATCAGTTAGTGTGCATTTCTTTATTTAAAATCTCTAAGCATCTATATTATGTTTTTTCCCCATTTCATAATATCGTGCAGATGATTCAATGTTGTTGTCTTGTATTAACATACCTCACACCCTTTTTCGTTTTTGTGTGAATAGAGGTTCGCTGAAACCCTTTCGCTTTTCTCGAAAACTCCTCCCCGCAACATTCACACTTTGTATCTTCCATGGTGTGGCTTTCTTTTATTGCACCTCAGATCTCGCGCTCTTCTGCCATTCCTCTGTCACTTTGAAGAATTCCCTCGACTTCCGGCGAGATTTGAGTCACGTGACTCGTTAACTCAAATAACAGCGAAAATACGGTTGACTATATTTGTGTGCTTCTATTATAAAAAATTGGAGTGGTATTTTATTTTAAGTGATATAAGTGAGTACTAGAATCATCGTTTGATTATTTAGTTATGAGTTAAACAACATCTTTGACTGTCGAGTATTTAAAATCGAGCCGAGAACGCCGCCTCCAGTTGGAGGCGGCGAATTTCCAGTTTTCGTAATGGCGCCGGTTCTGACGTTTTCCAGGCACGTCAAATATCAAAATCGTAAAAAAGCCTGGAAAACGTCAGATATTTCGGACTACAGCAAGATCTGCAGCTAATTCTAGACAAACGGACAGATAAAAAAATGACAGAATTCAAAACGTGTCAATTTAAAAAGGCCTGCGAGGATCTAGAAGAGGGGTCTGCCGGTATTTTCAGAGGTGTATAAGTAACGAAAAAATTATCTTGGAACCTGCCCTGTCACGTGACTATCTAGAACTAAACACATAACGCGTTGTATAGAATAATTATAATGAGGTTTAATAATATCAATTATTACATGGACTTTGCCTCAGTGAGAGCTGCTAAACTTAAGTAACAAGCTTCCTGCTACATGTATTAAAGGCAATAATAGAGACCTGTCGTCAGCGAGGGTTGATAATTGTGATAATGTACAAACAATGCATTTAAACACTTTACAAATATTAATGCTTATACAATTTTAGATATTCTTTTTTTATACACGAAACTGATTTTTATAGTGAAATCTTAATGTACGTAATTTAAGTTGTTTTTTTTTTTATTATAACAGTGTACATTTAAATGTGTATACATATATTTTTAATTAAAAATCCGTCGGATACCATAAAAAAAATGCTATAGTTAACTATAGTTTACTATGGTTAACTATAGTGATAACTTTGACACTATGAAAACTATAGTAAACTATAGTGATAACTTTGACACTTTGATTTACTATAGTGATCACCATGACACTATAGTGATAACTATGAAAACTTTGATTTACTATGGTGAAAACTATGATTTATTATAGTGATAATTTTGAAAACTTTGATTTATTATAGTGATAACTATGACACTATTGTGATCACTTTGAAAACTTTGATTCATTATAGTGATAACTTTGAAACTTTGATTTACTATAGTTAACTATAGTAAACAATAGTTAACTATAGTATTTTTCATTAGGGTAGGGCGGTGTCCCAAGTAAAGAATTCGGCGCACCACGGTTCCGCAAATTGATATTGCCTTTCATCAAAAAAAGTTACAATTTCGCAAATATTTTACAATTCTGCAAGATCATTGTATTTATATTTTATATATTATTTACAAAGAATGTCAAGTTTGTCTTTGTCTTTTTATCACAGGTTAATTGCAGAAAGGTCGTGCTTAGGTACAATAATAGAGCTTTATATATTATTCTGCAGAAAAGTTAAAATGATTTTTTTTCCAAAATTTGCATAGATGTAATACGTTCCAAGGATTACAACAAAGCCTCTGGATTTCGAAATGAGTATGTTCACTGGGGACCACCACAGAAACCTAAAACATTCCAAAGGAAAATGCATTTAAATTAACTCGATATCCAGTCGTGCGAGTTTACGTACTTGAAATCTCTGCTAAATGGAGGCAAAATTCGCACATTAAATCCAGTTTTGAAATCTTTCCGAAGCTGTTAACGTTATCTGTAGATTCAGCCTTCAGGAAAGTCTTCTTTCTCTGTTATTATTTGCCGCTATTTCCAGTATTTTTAGCAAGACCCTCTGTAAATTAGGACTGACGTTGGTCCCCTTTCCTTTATGTATATATGAGATGGATCACTGTTCGTTATCTTCACATTTTACACACAGATCACGTAAACTCATGCATATAGTGTGTTACCGTCCTCTGTGAATGTGACTGAAATACTGCCGACTTTGCGTTATGCAATAAAGAATCAATCAGTAATGTCGGTAGACCAAACTGGTGCAATCCCCGCTTCTAATCTGTCCACGTTAATTTCACTTTTGATGCTACTTTATTCTCTTGTTTGTATTCAGCAACACTTGCATATTGAATTCCTCGTTTTCATTGCACTTTCATTTATTAACAACTGAAACTATTCACATTTTATTCTGTGTTTGTAGTATTGCAATTCACGAGCAAGGCTGAAAACTTGTATTTTTTTTCAAATAACAAGAACACGCTGCATGATGTCAAACAATATTAATGCATGAAGACAAATGGGATAAAGCGGCTTTATTAAAATCAGAATACAACTGACCTGATTGTACATAATTATACTTTCATTTATTTACACCTGGGACTTTTCACATTTTAATCTGCGTCTGCTTTGCAATTCAAAAGCAAGACTAAAAGCTTGTAACCCCCCCCCCCCCCTCCCCCCAAGTACAAGAAAGCGCTGATGTCTTTTCTGAAACAATAATATTAATGCACGGAGACTAATGTGATGAAGGCAGAATACTTCCAATTTGAAAATAATTTTTTTTCCAACATTAACATCGCAAACCGACACGACTGTCTTTTTAAGCTTTGGGAGGGGAGGGGGTGGGTCGAACGCAGTCCCTTTAGGCCTGTCTACTTCTGTTCGTATGACTAGGTAGTCAAGGTATTAAAAGGAAGCAAAACTAAATCCAATGAATAATTTTCTGGAGCAAATAACGTACCAACATTTTCACATAAAACTTCAAATTAGCCTCCATGTTAAAGTAAAGTTAAGATTTTTTAAAATGTAAGAACAAGAAATTAAACAGTTTTTACTCTCCGAAACAGGCATCCCACGTGATTTCAGAATTGCTAAAAGATGACCATGTAGATTGTTTCATGTTTATTACATACTTTTATCGACAGAATGGAGGACTTGAGAATGTCAACGCTGCAAAGTATTCGTTACTTTAGTATTACATGCAATATGTACTTTTCTGAACATTTCTCTCCTGTGTGTTATAGATTCCTAAGTGTGTTGAAAGCTTCGGAATTTATTATACCATAACATTATAAGCAAGTCTGAAGGATAAGTAATAATCACAAACGTGTGCAACGAAGTTCACGTTCAACAATATCGGCTGCTTCCTCAAGTGTGGGTTGTAATATTTAAATAAGCATATGTTCAAAGAAGCTATGTTTTTATTTTAATCTACTATCATGAAATCAATAAATGTAAGTAAGTGTTGGATGTTCATCGTGTCACAAAACGGACGGCTGTATAGACAGTTTTTCATAACGCGATGACAAGTGTTATTCTACTTGTTAGCACAGAAGTCCGTATTATGACACGACGAACGTCCAAAATTAACAGTTAAATATACTTAATTATACGAAGAAGCACTGGATAAGCCCTTCAAGACAAAACTTCCTAAAAGGATGTCGATAAATAGATGAAGTATTATAATAATCCAGAAAATTCCCATTACAGTATATTCAATTATATCTAAAGTGAATACAATTAAGTGTTGATTAAGGTCCCGTCATCACTACACATGCTGTGGACTGTCAAATCAAGGAAAGAGACATGAAAGAGAAATATTTTTTTACCGAATATAACAGCCATTATTTGATTTTAATTTTACAAAAATTAACTCTCCTAAAAAGTCTAGCACACATCACCATGAAACATATTTCACCAAGGATACGGTCATAAGACATGGGGTAGTATCGAGATTAGTTAAAAGCAATAGGTATGGAATACAATTTTAGATCTAAGTTAAAAGATCAATTAGGAACAGGGCCTCCTAGGAAATAAACCATTATGCTGATTACAATATGATATAAAGAAATTGCGCTAGAGGATAAATGCGGTGTTTAAATGAACAATTTCTTAAATTGCGACCTGATTATTTAAATAAATCAAATGTTTATGTTGAAATATGTTTTGAAAGAAAAAAATTGAAAACTAACTTATATTCGCGTTTGATTGAAAGTAACTGCTTTTTAATATGTTCTTCCTTTATTAGGAAAATGTTATCATGAATTTACACTCGAAAATTTTGAAGTTCAATTTTCTTTATTCATTTTACATACTAAGAACACTTATCTGTTGAATGTACCTGAGGATATATGTGTCCTTTAATTTTCATAATGAAATTCCAATATTTGCTAAGTTTAATGCTAATGAGGACCAGCATTGTCTGTTTCAGCCAATCACAATATCTCGGCTCTTCAATAAAGAATTGTTTTATTACTCCCACAATCATACTAAGCTTTTTTTTCATTTACGGCGACTTTCTGGTAAGAAATGCTTTTCCTTACATACCATAATTTTTTAACAATGGAATTTTTTTTTCTTAGTGTGAGGATTTGGGGTATGGGGAGTGTAAACATAGATTATATGTCTTCATTTTTACAGTTAAATTTCTGGTAGAATTACAGTAAATGATAAGATAGAAAGGGAAATTTAACTTTTTTTTCTCTCTTTTAGATTTTGATTCTGCAGTTAAAGATGCATTTCCCAAATAATACCGTTTCCGAGTTTAATCACACGACTGGTCGGATTGAATCGAATCAAGGATATGCAGCGGAAATTTTTGGAACCGTTTGTACAAAATACGTGGCACCTTCAATTTGTGTTTTCGGAATTATTGGAAATTCTTTCAGCTTGGTAGTCTTGATGCGGAAATCTCTTAAGCAATCCCCATACATCAACTTGAAGGCTCTGACCATAGTTAATCTATTGGCTTTGCTCGTATCGTTTCCTTATATGATACGAGGGGAAAATTCGACAGAATACGCATGGCTGTGGTACAACATTTACATTTTCATCCCTCTCGTCAGCTTGCTAACTGCAACAAGTATTTGGATTGTTGTTCTCTTGACTGTTGAGCGCTTTCTGTACGTTAAATATCCACTTCGTACAAGAGGACAGTGTGGACCAAAAGGAACTGTAATTCGAATATTATCTATATTATTTGTAGCTCTCCTCATGTCTCTGCACAAATTTTTTCAGTATGAATTAGACCCTATTAAAAATAAATATATAGAAACTGCATTTAAACAAAGTATAATGTCATTTATCATTGAAATCGCCCTAATGGTGATTATACATTTCATTCCGTTGATTGTTCTTGCGATTATAAACATTGTGTTAGTGAGAACAGTGCGTCAGGCCCGTAACCGGAGGTTAATGTTGAACCTGCGCAACAACCAGGAGGGAGGATGGCAAAAGGATGAGCGGCGCTTCACCGTCACACTTGCCAGCATAGTGATTCTGAACATCTGTTTTATCGGACCAACCACCATCACAGACATTCTATATCTAAGCAAACTTGGTGGACAAAGCGATAATTTAATAACGACCATTGTTTTCATGCGTCATATTTCAAACGTGTTGCTATGGTTTTGCCTGTCGTTTAATTTTGTATTGTACTGTACTTTTAACAAGCGATTTTTCCAAGCAATGAAAGAAATATTACAGTTTCACAGATTTCGACGAAATCGTTTCCACTCGGTGAAATCGTCGGAGATGACATTCCTACGCTCAACAAACTTTGACAGCTGATTCTTTCGGAGGTAGCCATCATCGCATCTTTGACAATTCAAATATGTTGATATACATGTATTTATTGACGTTCATGAATGTCTAACTTTTTTGATACAAACTTACATATCACTTGTGTCACTTTTCACCACAATGTAGGCATTTTTTCAGCACAAGCTGCAGATATTTTTGATTGCTCAACGTCAGATTTTTAAATGTTTCATTTCAGTAATATTGTAATCCAAAAATTTTCAAATAAAATTATGTCTGAGAATCTACTTTATCTTCATAAAAAAAACGCAAGTAAGACAATCACACAAGTACCGTATAGAATTTTTTGAGAACTCTTTACGTAGGTTTAATGGTATTAAACAGGTTATACTCTGGTTAGTTTAACCCACCAAGTCAATCATCATTTTTAGATTTCGTTTGTTTGCATGTTGTTTAACGTCCCTCTCGAGAATTTTTCACTCATATGGAGACGCCACCACTTGCCGGTGGAGAGCTGCAAATTTTGTCCTATGCTCGGCACATACGGCCATTGAGCAGTGAGGGGTCTTTTTCGTGCCAACACCTACTGTGACACAGGACCTCGGTTTATACGGTCTCATCCGAAGGACCGGTCTCCACGTCCCACAGTGGGATTCGAACCCGCGACGTAAGGATCAACTCCTTACCTCGCCACTCTAGAGCAGACGTTCTAACCACTGCGCCACGCGGGCGACATTTAGATTTCGTCAAATTAATAATTTTATAAATATTCATACATTTCCTATCCAAAATGTTGATAAAAGAGACCTAGAGAATTTTTACCATAGGATTTCTTCATAATCCATTTAATTCAATGCATTTCCTATGCGAAATGTTGATAAAAGGGACCTAGATAATTTTTATGATTGGATTTCTCCAAAACCTATTTAATTCATATCGTTTAAATATATTAAATTATATATTATATACAATATTACATAAGAAAATTATTTTCTTAATTTTTATTGGCTGAAAGGACGTCACGTGATATGCGTCCTTTTCTGATACCTCTCACTGTTCGACTGCACCAAAGTTACGTAGAACGTGAAGGCATAATATAAGAAGCATGTTTTACCATTGTGACGTAATAGCAGCCAAGTCTGTTCAATTAAAACTGTGTCAGATTATTAACTTTGCGTGATTTTATAATATAACTATAATGATGACATTATTGGCGGTCGGGCGCACGGTTATTTCAAACACTGTGATATTCTTGTTTCATCAACTTGTTTGTCAATAACTTACCTCGTTTTAGAAATTGCTTATACGTAGAACATGCTCTTGCGTATCGAATCAACTGAGGGATATAAACCCCGTATGCAGATGATGACGGTATATTGCTGCATAAGTAAGGGAAGTTGACGATTGAAAAGTAACTATTGTTAATTGATAATACGTCGTATATATATCTAAATGTCGAGTTGGATGCCACAGCAAGGGTTTTCTTTTTCTCATGTAGAAGTTTTTGAATGCATTCTGCTTCATATAAATACAAAAATAGGTCTGCTAATAAGGGGGCACAATTGGTACCCATAGAAATTCTAACATATTGTTGGAAGACCTGTTCTCTAAAAACTACATAGATATTGTCAATCAAAAACTCAGACATCTTTTTTTAATATCAACTTCAGAGTACTTGTGAGTACAATCATATTTCTTTTAAAAATAATTTTGCAAATGATCAATGACAAGAGAAGTATATTTACAAGTTCCATTTTTATTGAAAAAGCAGCTGTCTATCATGTCAAGAAGCCTGGACTTACAATGGTTCTCTACATACATTTTGACACGATGGATATGTTGCTAGAAACTGTCATCGCTTTACATGTGTGTGTTTTTGGTCCATTTGATATGACATATAACAATAAGTTATTTTATGCCATGAACCGAGGTACAAAAAGGAGACAAAGTACTATATCCAACATGACATCTAATATACGGAATAAAGACTGTCAAAAAGCTGAGAGTAAACCTCATATTAAATTTCGATTGAATGGTTGATAACTGGGCTACATTTGTGGACTAAATGCTAATCTAAAAAGGAAAGGACAAAAAAGAAGTAACATTCTATAATTAAAGACATTAAAAGACATATTAAAGATACCAGTATCTATTAAAAACAGAAAATTTATGATTGACTAATGTATTATGGATCTTTATATTGTATCTAAATCAGACCACAGAACATTAACTGGCAAGTTTGGAATTATGCAGCTTACATCATTTCCATTTGTTACAGTCAAAACATTTATGGATACACAATGAAAGGGCGGGTACAATTCGACGAGGACGTAAGAGAAAACATTGGATTGAAAAAAAGAGGAAAATTGACAAATTGTCCGAAGTCGAAAATCCTATTTCGTGCGTAATGAGTTTATCAATACATTACCAAATTATCATTTTTTAACGATACTACAACAAAAAGAGGAGGCAATCAGCCTTTAAATGAATCTTTTTAATGGTAAAAAGTTACGTTTAGAAACATCAATGTGTTACTTTTCGCGTTACGTCAAGCACTGTGCTACTAGAAGCCTCTATTTCATCGATTTTGTTATTTGGCTCCTGACAGCTGATTAGCTAGGGGATGCTTACTCCTTCTAGGTACCTGATCCCACCTCTGGAATTTTCTGGGTCCGTCTTTTATGCTATGTTCACAGATTTGTATTTGTAGATTTTTGTAAGATTGATTCCTGTTCGTTATCTTCTTTTTTTCATTTACATGTACAATGAAAAAGGTTAAGATAACAAACCGTGATCAATTTTATACATTTTGTAAGCAATATTGATTTTTTTTTAGCAAAACGAAACGTGAACATGCACTTGAACCTCTGAATACAGGTGGGATTAGGCGTCTAGGAGGAATAAGCATTTTCCTGTCCACCAGTCACAACTGGCATTAGCTTTCTGTATTGATTAGGTAATTGGGGTAATCCGTAGGCAAAATTAGTACGAAGCAATGGCCTAACAATTGGTATAAAATATGTCAGCTAAAATACGATCCAAGGATTGGTTGTATGAATTTTGCAAACAACGGCAATAAAGAGACTTTTTTTTTCCGAAATATTGACTTAAAACAAAGCTCTGTAACGTCATCTTATCTGGCAGTAGCTGGTCTTGGAATGAAAAAAATTAATCGCATTCGGAACATGCTCTAGCGAATCGCATCAGTTTGGGGAGACATGAATACCTTATGCAGGTGACATTGAAATGTTGCTACAAAAACAGGGGAAGTTGACAAAAAAAGTTGAATTCGTCCCGTCTGTCATATAGTCTAATTGTAGTCATAACTGTAAACAATGTATTACATGTACATGTAAATACGACATTATCTATTCACAACTTTCCAATTGCAAAACCAATCTATAACAAAAAAAAATATGACCTTATTTCTCAGATCAATTATATTCAACTACATAACACTGAATATAGTCTAGATATGCTAAATCTATATCGATTAAAAATATGGAGTAAAATACAAATTTAAAAGAATCATCTATGAAATTTGTGTTTCTGTGGTACTCGGGCCTGATTCCGTCCCTTAGCCAATCATCTTTGAAAAGGTCGACCAATGAGCGAGGTTATTGCTGAACACCGAAAGGCGAGTTCAATTCAATGCAGAATGAAAAGAAACAGTTTTATGTCATTCCTGAAAAAACGATTTTTAAATACTTATTGTGTTTGCGTATCTAATTAAGATAGCATTTATTCTTCCTTATTATAAAACCTATTGCACATCCTTTATATCATACTGATACCTGTGTAAGGTGACTTCATTGGAATGCTCATATTTATCTACATGCAAATTAAAACCCATTGAACCGAGAGCAATAGTTTTTTTCCTCGAGATGATTTTATCACATAGATCAAAGCGTTCGTACTTCTGTGCTTATGTCTATTAATCAATCTTAATTAAAACTTCATTTCACTGAAAAGAGATATATTTTACTCGTGGGATATTTTGTAAAGATCTAAGGTCTTTGAAATGATGCCGATTTTGAAAAAAAAGTCCTCGGTACAGTATTTTGTTTTCCTTTGTACTCACTGCGTTTATCACTTTTTATGCAGTGCGTCGAAAAACAATGATTATACTCAAACATTTAATGTACATTCAATGCCTGATCTTAAGTCATGCCAACAATGCTGATGTTGATCAATACTTCCATTATAATCATGCCAAGTAATTGCCCGAAAAGAATCAAGTACCTAATATAATCCATATACTGCTTCCTCAACAGGAAATTTTTTTTATCCATTTTACACTTTTGTAAATTATCGGTAAGTTGTTTCTTTTTTATTGTACCCCAGAACAACCCCTCAAATGATATTTTTGTTTCTCCTTCTTCATCTACACGGTGTTTTATCTGCCTTAACTTTTTCATTGCAATTTGTGTTCGAGTTTTTCTAATAAATTCTAAAAATGTTTTCATTAGCAGTAAAGGTTTTCAAAATAAGAGCTTTGTACATCAATTATAATGAATTTTAGGCGGATCTGAATATGTGCGTGAATTCAGAAATAACTCGTCGACGTCGGCAATGACACACTGACAGGGGTCATTAATCAATTTCTCTAACAAAGTAATTCTGTAATTTACATGAAACAAATACTCCTAGCATGCTTATAGTAATTTGACTAAAACTTCTTACAAATTAATCGCACTTGTTCGTTAATATATGCATCCTAAATTATCATTGTGCATGTCTACAGTACAGGTAGTTATAAAGGTCTCCTGAAAAATAAGGATTTTTTTTCCAAGTCCGTATCCGTGACATCGCTCCAATATTCCTTATCTTCTACATGGTTGGCAGAACACTGTTTCAGGTTGTTGGAGGCAAGATATTTGTAATCACTTATCGCTAACATAAATGTATTGTCATGGTGATATAAAAAGATCATCCCCTTTAACACTCGCCTAGCCTGTCCTTCCTATGTGAAATATCAAACATAGCTTTCCAAAAAGACTCCAAGATAACCGGCATCAGCGAATTATTTCACATCAATTTGC